CAGGTAGTAATCAATGAACTTACGGACCAAATAGCAGACCATAGGTCCGGGTTTGAGGCTAACCTCGCCCAGTTAGGTCAAGAATTCAATAAGAAATGGACGCTCCAGAAGGAGAACTTGGAGGAAGCAATTAAGTCAGCCAACCAGGAGAAAACTGCAGTGGAACGCAGATTTGAGCAAGTAGACGCAAAATTTATGGCATTACAAAGCAAAATTGGGGAAATTCAGAGTAAGCACAATTTGGTGAATGTGCGTAAGATAGGCCACGGTGCAATCTCTCCTTCAGTAGTGCAGTCGGATGAGCAACCAAGGGATCAGGAAGGTACAGTTGACAACGATGGGCAGGCTGAAGGGAACAACAGCTGTTCTTGCCGGCCAACCCATTGTAACATGAATGCAAGTAGCAGTGTGAATGAAATGACCGAACCTGTCTCAGTGGCTAGTTTTCTAACCAGCTCAGAGCTGCCTTTGCCATTGTTTGATGACAATTCGGATACAAACCCGGTATTACATCTCCGGCGCCTTGATGAGTTCATAAAATTAAGAAATGTACCTAAGAGTTTAGAACTGACAGTAGCCTATAGGTCCATAATAGGGCACATGAGTAAACAGTGGGTGGAGGCTGTCAGCCGGAATTTGGCTGATTATGATTCATTTAAGAAAGAATTTCTGAATTCCTGGTGGAGCGCGGCTCGCCAGAGCTTGAGCAAGTGCAACTTATACCAAGCCAAGTACAATAGACAGTCTGGCTTGTCGCTGTCTGGCCACTTCCTCAAGTATGCCACTATGGCATCATATTTGGATCCTAGGCCATCCGATCCTGAAATTATAGAAGCGGTACGTTACCACTTCCCGGTGGGGGTCCAGAGAGCGATGCTGACCAATCAACTAAAAACTATCGGGGATACATTAGACCTCCTGAGAAGGGTAGAGGTTTTGGAAGCAGGAGAAGGGTTCCACAGGACTCCTAACCAGCTACAAACGCAACACCCCAACACAGTAAGACAGGGGACGAACCCAGTTAGGGGAGATAACAGGGTTCAGACACAAACCCCGGTTAGGCAGATTCAGTATTCGCGCTCCCAGAACCGCCGAAATGGCAACTGGAGACGCAATGGAGGCAACGAAGGATACAGGGATAGAGACTACCAAGGTTCAGGCTCCCGCCAGCTTAACCCCAACGTTCCCCCTTTTCAAGGACGTCAGGAACAGGTGCCACCCACCGGTTCCGGTGAGCATTCGGGAAACTAATGACTGGAGTCATTACGGACCGAATGTCTCCCGCCCATAAAGCCAGCAATTTTCAAGGTCCATCCAGCGCATCTAAATTAACTAACAAGCCTAGAGTAGAGGGTGAGATAGGTAGAAATTCTAGGAAGAATGAGGTGAGAGAAACCACTGACTGTGTAGTACTATTTATTAACGACGCTGCATTAGGCCAGAGTCCACAGATCGAGATTAAAGTAGCAGGTAAATGGGCGATTAACGCAATGCTAGATTCAGGTAGTGAAGTGAATCTCTTGTCAGAGGGAGCATATGAGAAGCTCATTAAAGCAGGTGTGGAAATCCCGGTGTTGCCTGTAGAGTGGTCCTAGTGACGGCATTTGGAAGGCGATCCAGGCGGATACGTCACCAGGCACTGATTGAATTTTCAGTGGGCGAGGACCTCTTTGAAAGTGTTTTCATGATTTCTTCTCAGCTCACTAACGAAGTGATTATAGGCTGTCAATTTCTGAAGGAATATGGCATCAGGATCAATTTCGACTCTGGGACATTCAGTTATGTCCGGGAGGGCGTAATGAGAGAACAGACTTTTTCAGCTAAAGCCGAGTGTCCGGAGGTAAGACGTAATGAGCGAAGTGTGACAGGGGAATCTCCCTACCCAAACCACTCATCCTCAGGTCAGCGACCTACAAACCCATCAGCTGATCCTGAAAGGACTCCCCTTCTAGGAGCAGTTCACAGCTGTTCCGAATTCCTATCCCACCGAACAATTCTGACCGGCAGTGAGTCACAACACGGCACTCAAATCAATTGTAGTGAGACCGAGAGTAGGTCAGATGAAGTATACAGGGACTGTGCTTCCCTTACTGGTGTCGCAGGGAGCGACCGTTTCATTAATGAAATTACGCGTGTCAAGGTAGACACTGCGGAGAATAAGAATGACCAGAGCCGAGACTCTGTCAGTAGAGTTGCCGACTCCAACCAAGGGTTAGAGATTAAGCCCGTAAAAACAATCCTGCCACAAGGTCAGCCCATCCACAAATCTAGATCACATTCCCCCGATCCCAGGTCGTTACGGAAGACCGACGTGTCCGGCTTGGTTGAACAAGTGACAAGTCTTTCAGCCCTAGAGCGAAGAAGACTATGTGAAGTCTTGATCAAGTACCTGAGCCATATGACGACTAAGCCTGGGAGGTGTAATTTGTTGCAGTATAAGTTCCATGTACAGGCAGATAGGCCCATTATAGGCTACTCTAGACCGATACCTTTCGCGGTCCGTCCAGCCGTCCGGGAGCAAATTAATCAGATGCTAGAAGATGAAATTCTGGAGCCTAGCAATTCACGTATTTTGAACCCTCTGACAGTAGTTAGCAAGGACGGAGGAAAAATTCGAATCTGCGTGGATGCCCGTAAGGTGAACCAATTTACGGTCCCCGATCATGAGAGAGCGCCACCACTGCAAGAACTATTACAGAGATTTGAGGGAGCCCAGTACTTTACTTCCCTAGATCTCAGTTCTGCTTACCTACAAATCGAACTTCATAAGGACTCTAGGAAATACACAGCCTTCCTATTTGATTCGACTGTGTACCAGTTTAAAAGGGTACCCTATGGATTTAGAAATTCTTTACCGGCGTTTATACGCGCTATTAAATTAGCCCTGGGCGGAGACCACCTTGAAATTGCTGTGTTTTACATCCATGACATTCTGATACATATTTAACATAATCCCAAACGAAGGAAACAGCCAAACCCTTAAAAAAAACTAATTTTAACTAGAGATGAAGAAATTTACAAATTGCTAGGGTCAACTAGATGTAGTAAAGAATGTGTAGGGAAGCGAAAGGAATGAGGGTTACGAACTAGCAACTGTTACGTTTGGTAAAAAGAAAGAAAGTGGGGCAATGTCGAGTACCTGACTGAAACCCCATAACAGAGTAAGGGTCATTTACCCAAAAGGGAGAGGGCGAGCGAGACAGAGAAAGGAAATGAGAGAGAGAATGCTAGTAAACAAACACGCTACGCTAAGTTAAAGACGAATGTGAAAGTATTAGCAGGATTTTCAGTGTGAAAACTTAGAATGAAACTACCCACCAGCTGCAGGGTAACGAGAAGTGCAAAGTGAAGTGTGATAGGAGAGCATAGTGAAGTGGGATGAGAGAGCAAAGTGAAGTGTGATAGGAGAGCCAAGTGAAGTGTGATGGGAGAGCAAAGTGAAGTGAAGTGAAAAAAAAAAGCTTCGATGTCCAGACAGGTTAAATCAAGCTTAAACAAAGT